GTGGGCAGACAGGTGGGCAGACAGGAGGACAGGTGGGCAGACAGGTGGGCAGACAGGAGGACAGGTGGGCAGACAGGTGGGCAGACAGGAGGACAGGTGGGCAGACAGGTGGACAGACAGGTGGACAGACAGGAGGACAGGTGGGCAGACAGGTGGGCAGACAGGTGGACAGACAGGAGGACAGACAGGTGGGCAGACAGGTGGACAGACAGGTGGACAGACAGGAGGACAGACAGGTGGACAGACAGGTGGACAGACAGGAGGACAGACAGGTGGGCAGACAGGAGGACAGGTGGGCAGACAGGTGGACAGACAGGTGGACAGACAGGAGGACAGGTGGGCAGACAGGTGGGCAGACAGGTGGACAGACAGGAGGACAGACAGGTGGGCAGACAGGTGGACAGACAGGTGGACAGACAGGAGGACAGGAGGACAGACAGGTGGGCAGACAGGTGGGCAGACAGGTGGGCAGACAGGTGGGCAGACAGGTGGACAGACAGGAGGACAGACAGCAGGACAGACAGGTGGACAGACAGGTGGACAGACAGGTGGGCAGACAGGTGGGCAGACAGGTGGGCAGACAGGTGGGCAGACAGGTGGACAGACAGGTGGACAGACAGGTGGGCAGACAGGTGGGCAGACAGGTGGACAGACAGGAGGACAGACAGCAGGACAGACAGGTGGACAGACAGGTGGGGACGCTCCTACCTCAGAAATCTCCTGCATCAGAACGGCGTGGCGGCAAAACAAAACAAAACAAAACAAAACAAAAAAACAACGCAACAAAATGTAAGAAAACCTGACAGCTTCTAAAACCAAAGAGGAAGATCCAGAACCACAAACAAACCAATAATAATAACAACAATAATAACAATAATAATAATATTAATAATAATAATTAGCCCTTCAAAATAAAACGTCTGATTATTTCTACACCAAACCAAGTTTAAACTGATGAGAAAACATCAGGAGTCAGGTTTTTAAACATCTCATCAGTTTTCTGCTCAAATAGGTTTTTTTTTTAATAAATTTGATCAAATCTGTTGTTTTCTTCAGTTTTCCTCATTTTCCACTTCAGTTTAGAAAACCTGCCTCAGTTTTAGGCTTTTTGTTGTCAGTTTTGATCTGATCATGAAGTCATCAACTCAAACAGCAGGAGGAACAGGAAGGATCAGAAAATGTTTCTGAGGATAAATAAATAAATAAATAAATAAAATCAGCAAAGGAGACGAGCTGCAGCTGAAACGAACTGAAATGTTGAGAAAGATGCAGAAACAGAGGATAAAATCTGGATCTACTTCCTGTTTGTCTTCATGAAGAACATCTGAAAACGCTTCCATCCCTGTTCACTGAGTGTTTTTCATAAAGCGGTTGTGTTGAACAGAAAGACGACGTGTCTCTGATGTGTGAGCTGAGGTTTCTGCAGCAACAGGTGCAGCCTGCCTCCTGACAGGCAGACGCTGCCGTCTGCTCAGACAAATGTTGGTTGTAAGTCTGCTGCGATCCTGACAGAGGCCGACACACGCGCCGCCGCTCACACCGCACACACATCCTGACAGATGAATTTGAGACAGCTCCAACACCAGCTCCAAGAAACTACTTTTTTATTTTGGAGGAGAAAAGAGGTTTTCAGTGGACTGAAGCGAGGCGCAGTTTATTTACTGAACTGTTCGTCTGCACAGGAAAACGCTTCGTCACAGAGATTTAACAGGAAGTGAGTGTAGTTCCACAGAAACACTGGGATTTTTCAAATTAAAGGCGTCCATTATTAGTTATAACATTAGACTTTATTTGATAAACGTTTATTTTAACTGTCAAAGAGTAAAAATACTGTAGGCTGTTTAGTTTTTATCATTTTTAAACTAAAAGCTGAATGGGCGTGGCCCAACGGCTCCACTGCGCCACCTAAAGTGAGATAGAGGAACTGGTAAGTCCTAGAAAGCTGAAATTCAGCTTTACGTAGAACTCCCCAAAATATTTTAAAAAGTCTCTTGGAGGTATCCCCTAAAATGTACAGGAAGTCGGCCATTTTGGGTCAAAGGTCAAATTTTCCTTAAGTTTCACTTTCGCTCACGTCGAACTTTTGCGAACTCCTCCTAGAGATTTTGACCTATCAGCTTCAAACTTGGTCAGTATACTGTTAAGACATGTGGGATTAAAAGTTACCAAAACTGTGAGTTTTTGAGCATGTTTAGGGGGCGTGGCCAACCCTCGAAGTTGACCTTCTCGCTAACATTTTCTAAACGCACTAACTTCCACACAGACCGAATTCTACCAAACTCACTGTGCGTCATCCATGTTGGATGCTTGATGAAACTATATGGTCATATGATGACAACATCAAAGCCCCGCCCCCTGAGGACAGGAAGTGACTTTTATTTGCTTGGAAAGATCTATCTCTCACAGATTTGACTCAATCACCTTCAATTTGTGTCAGAACACAGATAACAAGTTGGACTGACTTGGTTTCAAACAACAAGACTTCTGGCTGGAAGGCGTGGTCAAGGCGGTGTGGCGAAGTCAGGCGTCACGCCGTTGAATTGCGTTTGGCTCTAAAATCCACAAATTTCAACCGATCAGTACCAAATCACCTGTGATTGATCCTTATCTGGTCCCCAACAGGAATGTGGTGTAACATTTGGTGGTCGTGGTCTAATTACTCCATAGCGCCCCCTACAATATTTAAAAAAATCAGCCCCAAGCCATGCTTTCACTGACAGTTATGAAATTTAGCACACATGTGTAATCTATTAGGGCCTACAAAAAAGTCTCTTGGAGAGAAACAGTTTAGCTTGTTTGTTGCACTAGCACCGAGCTAATGCATATAAGGCAATATAGTGTCGGCGCTAAAGCTAACAGGCTAATCTGAGGTTGTTCTTCCATGAAGCAGCTCTGTTGTCCTCCATCCATATTTTCAGTTCCAGGCTGAGTCATTTCTACCTTCTCTCTGTCAACGCTCTCTGGTTTCATTCAGGTAGGTACCTGTGAGGTTAGTTTTAGGGTCAGGTAGGTACCTGTGAGGTTAGTTTTAGGGTCAGGTAGGTACCT